TCGCTTTGCTGTACCCAGTACCGAACTCACCACCTGGCTAGTGCATCGTGACTCTGAGACTGTGGTGTCTGCCAGCAGCCAGTCCAGCCCCAGCATCATCCTGGACAATGGGGCCGGCCTAGAGGACGTTAACAACCCTGACGCTACCCCGGCCATGAGGGGAGGAAGTGGAGCACCTGAATCCACGTACAACCTGACCACAACGGACAGCAGCCTGGGAGCTGTGGCCCCAGAGGGGAACCAGGAGCAGGGCAGCAGGGATGGAAATGACGACCTCACCAAAGAGGTAAAGCAGCTAACACTTGGGGAACATCTGTCCCGGAGGGGAAACACCCCCTTTTCACAGTCGCTCGTTGTCAACACTGTCTGTCACACAGCAGCATTTAGTCAATGCTTATGCTAAAGTAGACCAAGCAGTTGAGAAATCAAATATTAGGTTGTATGTACAGTTTATGAATGGCCTAATTTAGTGCTAAACTAGTGTTTCCTGTTAACAAAAATCAATTATATGCACACAAAACTTTAGTCTTCTTGTCCACTTAACAAGGGGCAACTTAGATTAATCAGTCTGATATTATTTTTATTGCATTTCACTACAGTTTGGGTTATGTCAGTACAAAACACAAGTTAGCTACAAAAAATGTAAAAAAGTATAAACTGAGTTTAGGTGAAAACACCTGTATTTTTCATGGTCGACACCGTTTTCTACCAGTGTCAGGTATTTTTAACCAAACCAGTTGAGTCACATTCATTACAGCTGTGGTCACAGTTTATGTTGGCCCTCAGCGTGCTACTTTTAAATGTACAGCATACAGTCATCTTCCTTAATATATGCTCTTAAAATGGCATGATAGAAACATTAACAATACAAATTTCTATCTATAGTAGTTCAACATTGTTAGTGGTTCTTTTTTTATGTAACAGTGGATTTAGGGACACACACACACAAAGTCATTCTTTGACTATGATAAACTGAAGCAGCTTTCTGATCACATGATAACCACCATGCCAGAGTGATTAAGTCATGGTTGCGTCATCTGACCATATTTCGGTTACATGATATGACTCTTTCCTTCCAAAATAACCCACTCAAATTAAATAAAAAGCCAAACTGCTTGTATAAAAGATGAGCAGTATATGTGCTGGCTTATTATCATAAATAAATAAATATTGTAAACCATAAATAACCCAGATATGTTGGGTTTCATTTCTACATTGCTACATTATGAATTAGATTTTGATACATTGAATGCCTGCACAATACCAGATTGTCAAAATAACTTTTCTCTTTAAAGGGCCATTTTCCAGTGGTTGCTGTATGTTTTTCCAGGACATTGACTTGATTGACATCCTGTGGCGACAGGACATCGACCTTGGTGCAGGAAGAGAAGTGTTCAACTACAGCAACCGTCTGAAGGAGAGTGAGGAGAAGCCCAACCCACAGGAGAACAAAGAGGGGAATGAGGAACAAGAGAGCTGGAGAAATGGAGTAAACCTACAAGGGGCTCAGCTAGTAGACGGGGAGACAGGAGAGAGTATTCCAGAGCAGGTTGGTAGATTAAGCGGCTCTTTATCTCCTATTGTCCAGTGGGAGGAGGCCCAGTTAACTGCCTCACACAACATAAAGCAAAATTAAAGCTCTGAGATAAAAGATAATTTGATCTGCTGAAAATGAGTCTATATTCATGGAAACATTTCCAAATTGTTTATTTTCACCATTTGCAAAAAACATGTGGGATGAAAAAACTGTAGAATTGCTGTTTGTATATAGTAATGTCATCTTGTTGTTGAGTCACACTGGCTGTGTAGACAGATGTTTAAGTTTTAGTGACCCAACAAGCTGCACACAAGCTCAGTTTACCAAGCTGTGATACACATTTATAACATCCAAGAGCAATTTTCAGTAGATTAGTGGATTTCAGAATTGCTCTCCCCTGTGACATATAAATGTAACAAAAACTCCTGGTGCACACACACACGCAGCAAATTCAGCGCTCATATTTGTGGTATTCATGACATCTGTAATGTTTTATGGAGAAGCTTAAACTGATAAAGAAGCAAATGCAAAAAAAGTTGTTCTTTTTATACTGTGTCAGAATGGTCTGACTTGACCAGCGCAGCTGAGCATGAACTAGGCAAAATACACAGAATATTTATTAACAATGCAAGGTTTCATTAATGCAACACACTAATATGGCACAAAGGTGTCTGTTTAGGACACTGAACTAAACCGACATTTAATCAAGACACACCTCACCTGTGTGTTTCGTAACAGCTTGTTCAGACTTGTGTGAAAACTGCTGGTCAGACTGGGGGTGCACTTCTGGTGAGCTGTTCATTGGTGGTTGGAACATGGCCTGCTATCGGTCTGTGACATGGGATTTCCCCACAAGGGTCTGTTGTCAGAACTAAAATGATTTATCCCTTTTTTTTTTTTTTTTTTTTCCTTGGTCCAGATCAGATTGAACCAAATTGCCGGTGTGAAAGTGCCCTAACAGAATAAATACTGTTTTGATGTGTTCTTCTGTTGGTGCCCAGCTCCCAAATCTCGGCTCACAGACTTCACTGTCTCTGCAAGAATGCCTGAGGCTGCTGGAGGCCACATTTCCTTTTGGAGAAGAATCTGAGGTAAAAGCAAAAAAAAACATTGTTTCACATGAAATGCAAGTAGTGTACAGCAAGATATTAATATATTACTTGCTGTGGAAAAACTGTTATATTAAAATGTAGGACATTTTCATTTAGTTTCCAGCCCCTGTTGTGACCCCAGAAACCACAGTTACCATTGAAGAAGTTCCTTCTACATCTCAGGCCCTCCCTCTGGCACCACAGCTGCCCCCAGCAGAGCCACAGTCAGACCTGGAGCAGCAGTGGCAAGACATCATGGCCATCATGGAGCTACAAGTATGTTGCGCCTTTTTCAGTGTTTCATTTCTGAATGTGTGGGATGTATTTATTTGTCTTCATGAGGTTGGTCCAAATGGAAAGCTGATAGCAAATTCAGAGAAAAGCCTTCACTTTTCAACATGTGTGATTTTAGGATCAAAGCAAATGTGGAAGAATGAAAACGTGCCTCTGAAATATGTCAAAGAACGACATAAATAGCAGGAATAACAGATTTTATGTCGTAATTATTTTGCACAAAAATGGCTGTTATAATTTGAGATCTATGTAGATTTCCCCTAATAAAATCTTTCTGTTGGAAGGCAATGGAAGTGAACAACACTTCAGTGCACCCCAACTCCAGCAGTGTCAATGACACAAATGGGACAACTGAATCAAACACCACAGCAAACTTTGAACATTCTCATCCAACACCGATAAACCAAGATGTCAGCCTTCACCAGGCCTCCCTCCCCAGCTGCAGCCAAGACTTCCCCCAGATTTTTCATCCCCAGCTGGAGTCCATTAACATCACCCCAAGAACCACCATGCTCAGACTTTCCTCCAGCAACTCCACCAACATCAACTCCACATTTGGAGCCACTAACCTGACTGGGATCTTTCTCCCACCACACATAAACAGCTCCAGTAACAACATGACAGCCACACCTATCCTCCCTGATCCATTCAGCGTCTTGCTTGAGGAGTCCATGCTTGATGAGATCAGCCTGCTGGACCTTGCCATGGAGGAGGGCTTCAGCCAGGCTCAGGCTTCCCAGCTGGAGGATGAGCTTGACTCAGATTCTGGTCTTTCCCTGGACTCCAGCCACAGCCCAGCCTCCCCAAGTAGCTCAGAGACATCCTGCTCCTCTGCAGCCTCTTCCTCGTCAATGTCTGCCACCTTCTCAGAGGAGGGAGCTGTGGGATACAGTACTGACTCTGAGGTGGCCACTGTGGAGACAGAGGAAGGTGCCGTTGGAGGTTATCAGCCTGGGTATAGCAAACTCTGCCGTATGAGCTATCAGGACCCATCCCAGTTCCACAGCCTCCCTCAGCTCGACAGCATTAGCCATAATCATACTTACAACCTGCCGCTTTCCTCTGCCTTCTCTGAGCACTCTGAGCTCCCCATCTCAGCTGGCAAGAAGAACGGTCGCGACAAACAGAACTCAAAGCTTCAGCCTCCTCATTGACTTGCTTGACAAACACTCGAGCCGTGACGAATACCGAGCCCGGGCCATGAAAATCCCCTTCTCCAACGACAAGATCATCAACCTGCCTGTCGAGGAGTTCAACGAGCTTCTGGCCAAGCACCACCTGAGTGAAGCCCAGCTAGCCCTCATCCGTGACATCCGCAGGCGTGGCAAGAACAAGATGGCGGCCCAGAACTGCCGCAAGCGCAAACTGGACACCATCATAAATCTGGAACAGGGTGTCCAAGACCTGAGGCGTGACAAGGCGCGGCTACTGAAGGAGAAGATGGAGTTCATTCGTTCCATCCGTCAGATGAAGCAGAAGGTACAAAGTCTTTACCATGAGGTGTTCACTCAGCTGCGGGATAATGAGGGCCGGCCCTATCCTCCCGGTGAGTTCTCGCTCCAGTACAGCGCTGATGGCAGCGTACTGATCATGCCCCGCAGCGTGACAACTGCTGAGCAGAACCGTAAGCCTGAGAAAAAACAAAAAGACAAAAAGAAGTGAGGGGGACAAACTGCTGTCATCACTATTACTTTGATAAATCAATATGAAAGATTTATGAAGATGCAAGAGAGATGCCCTTTTTTCCTTTAAGAAGATTATGGTGAGTAGAGAAATGGCATTGTTGACTACTCTTCCTGCATTAGTTTCTCCCTTTTAAATCTGTTCCTACATTTCTTTTTGTGGAAACAACTTTGAAGAAGAAGTAGCTCTTTGTTTGAGTACTGATATTTCATTATTTAGATGGTGGAAAACAAACAAGGAGAAGAGGGATATGAAAGGACATAAAACGAGCTATTAGAGAAACTTTAGCCGCTCTTTACCCTTTTGCACCAAACCACGAGGATGGATAAGAATGTAGGGTAAAAGAAGGGACCGGTAATGGGAGGAAAAGAACTGTCAACAAGGATGGTTGGAATAGCTATGCACCGAAGGTTTTAAAGGACTATCAGATCACACCCCATCCTGGAGACTTGGTGATTTTCATAGTCACTGATGCTTTTAAGTTGCAAATCTTCAGGCAAAGAACAGCACCTATGATTGTGGGAGTTTAGATACCAAAGGCTAAAGAAAGTCCATCATCTTAGGATGCCATTAACACCTATACCTATACTAACCAAAGGTTGTATAGTGCACATCACTTGATCTGAATCCATCTTAAATGCTCAAACGCTGCACTCTAATTCTGTAGGTTTGTATTTCAGTTTTGAGTCAGTGTGTGAGTGGCATCTGAGGCCCTAAACAGATTGGGCTAGATGTGTGAGAGGAGGTTGTGTTCCCAGGCTGGTCACTGCTGAAAGAGGCCTGGAGGTGAAGTCCTGCAGGAGGAGCAGATGGATGCTTTAGGGAGGAGGCACACTGCATTGCAAAGTGTATCAACTTTCTTATAAATTATACATAGCACTGTAATTTGTCTTTAAAAGGCTTGGCTATATGCATTTTGCCGTGTCTGTCGCTGTTCCTTCGCTGCAGGTTTAAATGCGGGAGCTGTGTTTAGGAAGGCTCTTATTAACTGTTCATAATCTGTACTATAATCAAGGTTATTAGGTCTAGCCACATCAGCTTTACATAAAAGCCTACACTTTTGTTGATTTGGAAACCTAACGTGGAGCCTGGAATCACCAGAGGAATTTAAGATACTGTGATGGGCCAGGAGCTTCAGAGAGTACTGCCAAGCCCAGGCTACAACAGAACCACGCTGTGGATTATTTGTCTTTCTTTCCTCTTGGATGCCCCGTTTTAAGCCTAAACCTAAAGCAGGCACAGTCGTCACTGTGGTGTAGCGATATTTGCCAGCGTTACCCTGTTGCGAGCCACCGGAGGCCATTTTTAACTGCTGTAAAGCCAAGATGTTTGGCTGAGATGTTACAAGTCCTGTATCTTTCAGTTTTAGTGTTGGTAACAACGTGAGCCAAGCTGTTATACCAGGTAAAAGGTATTTGAATGTGTGAAATGGCAGCGTGTGTCGTGGCCACTTTAATTTGAATGCCTTTATTTCACGATCTCATTATGTTCACGTTTCAGGTTTTGAGAGCTGAAGAAAAACGTTCTCAAAGTAGAAGTGCTATTACTTGTCTGTTTGAATGAAGTTTGTCCGTATGTTACACCACCCTCTAAGTAAAATTGGTCAGCTGAGGTTGTAGTTATGCTAGAATATTTACAAGAGGCTGAAGAGAACTTGCAACAGTCTGAAAGGAGAAATGTCCTCATTCAGTGTGATATTCAGGCATGAAACTCTGGTTAACATTCACTCCAGTGTAACACCAACTATTTAGTACTGCTACTACTTAGTGCACTTTTTTGTCTGTCCGGTTCTGTAAATATTTTCATGTTTGTCATGATCCATGTCGTTTGTCAAATGTTTCCATAGCAGTCTGACCCTCTGCTTTGAGTTTGGATGTGGTTTCCTGTTTTCAGATATTTGCTGGCAATCAAGAATTGTTTTTATTGATTAATAAAGTGTTTTTATTTTCACCTGTAACTCTTGTGTTCTCTGTTTTACTGGATGACCAGGGCTCGGTTGAGGCAACTGGGCCGGTCCATGTTGCAGATTTGAGGGACTTATCCTGATAAAACAACCAGGCTCTTTGAAGGAGCCCCAGGACCACAAATAGCCAGAACTGGTAACAGAGATGCACCTTATTGACTAAATGAATCACATATTTTTATTACTGTTCTCAAATGTAAATATTTGCTGCTTTTCTTAATCTCAGAGTGACTGCATTTTCAACTTGGTGGTACAAAACCAGACATTTAAAAAATGAACTCCTGACCACTGTGACGGGCATTTTCACTGTTTTAGAGCAAACAATTGATTGAGAAAATAATTAGCTGCGGCCTTACTAGTAGTAAAAGGTGACACCAGCGTGAAACAGCACAGTAACAAAAAGTGCTTTATTCTCCAAAAGCAACAAGCAAGACATTAGAAGGAGAAGCACTACAGAGATTAGCAATAACCAAATGAATCACTGAAGAGTTCAGAGCTGTACACCAAGCTGCCTAAGGAAAAAGCTAAGATGACCGTTTACCTTTAAAAGCACCAGTAAACTAAGTAAAAAAAGGCACACTAATAAAATAAAAACATCACCTCACTGATACAACATCATGGCATGATGAGCGGGCACTGGACCAAATAACTGAAAATGATGCTGAATCTGCCGAACGACTCGTAAAACTGGAATGGATACGAAAAATTAACACTGCGTGTTACAGCTCCTTTCGTCTGGGTTTTGTCAAGCAAATCTGAAGCATATATACACTTAGATTTTATCCAGATAAAAGTGGAGTCAAGTGACAGATACTACACCAAAAGACAAATGAGTCCAGTGGTGCCTTGCTTATCTCTGCACCCTTCCCTGACCCCCCCCCCCCCCACCCCCCTGTTCAAATACAGCGAAGTTCAAAACTACAGTTTTTCTTTCTTCCCCGTGTTAGTTTTTGTCGTCCTTCTTCTCGTCTTCGGAGGGATATGAGTGCCAAGTGAGTCTCTCCTCGTAGAACGAGATGACCACCTGTGGACACTTCACGTTAGCCTCCTTCGCTGGCACCAGGTCAGCTTCATCTGAGTTCTTCCTATACAAACATCAAGCACACAACAAATGCAGCTAACCGTGCACAGACAAAAATGTAATTACATTTAAATCCCCAACAAACAGGGCAGTCTGTCAGGCACCGACATTCAGTCTCAGCTGTTACTGTGCTGTACAGTGCATACACACCATTTCATGAGGAACATGAGTTCTCCTGTGGAATCTGTGGCACCAATAATCCTTTCTGGATCCAGACCCCGAGCGAATCCCCTTAGCTTCTCTGTCTGAGGATTACACAGTAAAATGCAACCTCACTTAATCAAAATCAAGATTTTAGCATGAACTGGATCTGAATTTAAAACAAGTCAAGGACTGACACAGAAACTGCTATAAAAGCAGGCCAAAAATGGCTGCACACGTAGAGCTAATGTTAATTTGATGATGTCTGTGTGTAGTTCCAATAGACGCCCAGATACTGATCAGCATAATGAAGGAGTGTGGGTCAACAATGCTGCCCCCTTGGTTTGTTGAGACTGAATCCAAAAGTTCAGACTGTGACACACTCAGCTTCACTGTTTAACATTCTTGAATTAACCTCAGTGTCATATTTTTTCTTCTATATATTTGTAGAACTGCAGCTAACAATTACTTTGAATGCTGATTATTTTCTGAATTTGTCCAAAGCCTAAAGAGGTGTTTACTTCACTCTGTATGTATGACAAATAACAGTGTCAGACCTTCAAATTTGAGGAGCTGAAACCTGTGAATGCTCAGCATGTTTGTTGCACATTTGACTACCCAACTAGTCATTTGTGCTCTACATATTTGTACAATATTCTACAATTAAATGCTGTTTTGGGTCAGCACCACATCTGTTTGGAAAACACCTGTGGGTAATTCATTCTCTGAATGCCGGAACCAAAACAAACTCCTGAAAAGTTTGCAGACAGTGGATGTGTGAGCACACAGAATCTATACTACGCGTGGAGGATGGAAAACTAGGAATTTGGACTTACATCATCTTTTTTCTTCTTTGATTTACTTTCATCTCCTTCTGCGTCTCCGGTCGCCTTCCTCTTTCCATCGTGTGCCGATTTCTGTGACTGCAGAAATTCTGCAATCAAATCTGGACAGTCCAAGTTGTCTTCTGGCTCCCATGTGTTATCTTCACTGCAGATATCAGTACAGTATTTGTCAGCTGATAAAGAAGCCAGTACTTAATTCTTTTCTATGTTCTAATTTAATCACAAGCTCTGATTTAGAGGACTGAGTGAACGAAGTGACATGAGCCCACCAGAATTTCTCTGGCATTTATTAAAGACACCTTTAAATATGTTTAGAATAACAACTCCACAGTCAAACTCACTCAGAGAAGCCTTTCCACTTGAGAAGGTACTCTACTCTTCCTTTCACCACCCGCCGATTCAGTACCTTTTCCACCACATATTCTTCCTCCTCCTCCTCCTCCTCCGGCACATCATCTGCCTTCTTGTCCTTCTTCTCAGCTGAAGTCATTTTGCTCTCTGATGGGTGAGAAGCAGGAGCAATGAGCAGAAAGTTACCATTCCTGAGGACACTTGCTTTTTTTAACAGCTGCTGAGCCTTGAAACGGAAAACGGTCTCTGCCCGCAGGTGTTTGAGATCCAGTTTTAGATATTCACATTTCTTTGTGACATGTCACTTTGCTGAGTACAGGTTCAAATGGATGACAAACATTTACATTGCCACTTTGCTCACATACATTACTGGTATTCATTCCTTGACTCTTGACACACACCTTACCCCACAAGGACAAGTGATACAGATACATTTATGTTAGAAAATAATGATACATGAGACCTTCTGTAACAGTAGGACCATCGCTAGAGGGTTCTGTAGTCAGGCTCATACTCATCAGGTAGACCTGGGGACCAGCAGGTTCCTGGTCAACGTCAAGATTGTTGCATGAAGGAAGCAAGCAGGAATCAAGATGGTAGAAAGGAGAAAACAGCATTGGAGAATGGGATTCATTGAACAAAATACACGGGTGACCGTGTGAGGCAATGCAGACCACCAGCAAATAATGTCTCATAACTTAACAGTCTGTACAGTCAGAACTAATTTACCCATGGATATGTACAATTGATATTTATAGTAAGATATGTAGGGTAATGCACGATGTACAAGACTATGATTCAAATTCTAAGCTTAATGTGCCTTGTCCATTACTTGCAATTTGAATCCATGTTGTAGATCGTACATTACCCCACATATCTTATTGTAAATATCAATTGTACATATCCATCGGTAAATTGGTTCTGACTGTACAGACTGTAGATACTGTGCACACTGCACTTCTGGTTAGATGCTAAACTGTATTTCGTTGCCTTGTACTTGTAAAGTTGAATCTAATCTAATCAAACCTAAAACTTCTTTATGGCCTGTTATGCGTATGTTTTCTTTGTCTAGGGCAGAAACCCTCTATCAATAACTTTCCAATGATGTTTGCCCAAAAGGCGGGACCTCCTCTCACCTGAGCTGGAATCCGTGTTTAAGCATTGTATTAATAATTTATCTTGCAAAATGACTCAAATGATAATCGATCATAAAAATACCTTAGAGATGATTACGTTTTTGTCGATCAGCTAATTTGGTCTCAGTTATTGATTTATACTGATCTGCATTTCCTGAAGTTACCCGTGTACCTCACGACATGGTGTAAACTCACTGGACCTCTAATGGGAGGCGAATGCATCTTAGCGGGAATGCAAAATATGGACTCATTAAATGTATTATTGATCACCGTTAACAAGATGATTGCACAGAGTAGCTACCTTGGTGTTTATAATTTTACTAATTGATAAAGCGATGGCAGAACGGGGGGAGGGGAGGGGGACATGGCTGTGCAATGTTTGCAACACCTGGCAGCGGTTGAGCGGACAGTCAGGCTGGCGTGGAAATGCAGAGCTGATAATAAAACGAATATTTTGACCTACTTTAAACTGACGTGGTGTATAAAAACCCATGCATCCTCAATTTTGGGGAGATTTCCGCTGCTAACATTAGCTAGCGAGGAGAGAGAGAAACCAGCCGCACGACAAAGCCTTGAAGAACCCGGTTTGCAGCTACCTGGTGTCTCCTCCATATTGCTTTCCCGTTAGCAACTAACATAGTCTGGAATGTGTGTCGATTACAGTGATTATTATTAGTCATATTTTGGTATGAAACGCGTCTCCTAACTAAGCGCAGAACCGCTTTCCATCCGCCACTGAAAATATGCACATTATCGGCTAGCTAATGTTAGACTCGTGCACAATCAACCGTAACAACACGTTAGGACGGAGGAGGGAAAACAGAAATCAAACTCACCGGTGTCTTACAAATTTAACTGGTTTTAAAAGTTCCACCCGAACCGAAATTTAAAAACGCGAACAGCCTTGTCTCGCAATAATACGGCGGCTACGTCTGTTTATGTTGGTTTGTTGTGAAAATACAGAACCGCTAGCTTGGCTACAGCGAAATGTGTCGTTTCCGCCCCGTCGTCTGGTTAAGAAGGGGAAAAAAAAGCCCACTGGTCCGTTGGAGCGCGGACGGTGCAGTTTCGCAGATTACACAGCATCTGGATTTACTCGTCACCGCAACAGCAGTCCGTCGTGCTGCGCACTTGTCATTTATAGATCTGTGACAAGTGAGTGTGAGCAGACAACGGACTGAATCAATGGCACAGCCTCATCGATGATGGAGGCAGAAGAAAGATACTGTAAAATAAATACAGTAAATAGTCAGAAGATGTCCTAACACACTTTGAAACAATTAGTGGCAGACAGTTTACTCAAGGACTTCACTTAGTCTTTACAGTTCCCTATACTGAGTCCACGTTTTGCAACTAAAACCCCCCAGACACATTTCAGCTCTTGTATCAGAACGCCGACATTTGTCGCCCAACAAGAAAACGTTGTCACTCATTAGGCTAGATTACCCTCCCTCCTCCGGTTAGCTTTACAATATGGATGACTATTTTTTTAAGAATCTGTTTTTATTTAGCTCAAAAATCTGTGAGATAGGGAAAAGTGCATCCTGTGCTAATGTGGACATTTTGAAATAAAATTTTTAAAAAAGGTGTGTGAACTCCCCTTTTTGTGTTTTGGATTTTGACTTTGGTTATACACACTCCAACTCCCCATTATTTGTCTTCAGTTGAGCGCAGTAGTCTTCATATTTATTTATCTGTAATGCCTGTTTTCAATACAACATGAAGAAGGACACTTCTATATGCTCCTGGAGATATATGTCTCAGAAATTAATCAGAAATGCTGCAATATGTACAGAATGTTATAGAATTTTCGTTTTTTTATTTATGATTTGAAACCACGCCCCTCTCTACGTACGCACGTTGCCGTAACCCGTTACGTCTTGGTGTGACGTGAAAACGCAGTCTGGTGTTTGTGACTTGTGATATGGAAATGGGAGTGCTCGCAAAAACAAGGGTCTGTGTTTGAGGATTTCTTAAGTAAGACTTACATAGAAAGAGGACGACACCGATAACAGGCGGCTGGACACTCTCACAGCAGCTAACACACCTAATGAAAGTAAGTAGTAGCAGCCTTTAGCTGCTTTTTGCTTTGAGAAGTCAAGTCATTCAGGCCGGACAACTGCTAACTAGCGAACTTGGCTACAGCAACTGCACTGTTGAAAGCCCTAAGGTTTCATTTTCATTAACAGTTAGCTATATGACAGCGACATCTCCTAATTTGGGATTTCAGCAGTACTTTATTGTGCTTCCTCCGGTTTCTCTACACAGTATTAGGAGATCGGATCCAGCCGTTAAAGTTGTTAAATTCAGGCATCTATTTCATGCAGTTATTTGTACAGTTAAGCAGGGATACCCACCTCACAGAATAAATATTGTTTTAATTGAGAGACAGCCGTTGTAAGCATGGGCCGATTATGAAACAAGGGGGTCCAGGGAACAAAACTGTTGGTCCCCCCTCTCTTTGTGGCATGTTTGTGGTATTTATAGTATTTGAAAGGATGAATTTTGACTTAATAAGCTTGGAAGTTGAAAGAAAAATAAGGCGAGTTTCCCAGTTCAGGCAGTTTAGCCTTGGTGATTGTTCACCAAGAATTACAGCAGTATAAAAAGGTACCATCTTCGCAAAGAGTCAGTGGGGTGCATTTGGGACTTACAGTATATTAATTATAGAAATCTCTGACATAAAATTAAATTTGTAATGATAATGTCCTTTACTTCATACCTTTCATGGCAAATCATATGCTTCACGGTGAGTTGCAAAAACAAGTTTGATACAGCATGTCAAGAAGCCATGTTAAAAACAGCCTCTGGTATTCCATACCCTAAGTCCACAGCCTACAGATCACATTTTGCTTTGTATTGACCCAGGAAAACTTTAGACAGAGACAAAACCTATGTCACAATGCCACAATCACAAAGTCAGCCCAAGAGAAAAGACTATTGGCGATTGAACAAATAGCTGAAAGTCCAGGAGAAGTGGCTGCTTGTTGCTCACTGAAAAAGCTGTAAGGAGTCTAAATACAGTATATTGCTCCTGAGTGGGAAAGAGAAACGCCTGCAAGAGTGACTCAGTTCATGTTAGCTGACCAGCTTCTCTTTTAGTGAATCAGTCATTTTCTCATGACAGCACTATAGCGGATGTGAACTATCCGTTTTTTTAAAATTCCCTCATTGATTTCTCCTTTCGTTGCAGTGCAGCACTTGGTAGGATGATCAGGAATCACGAAGAAGATGTAAGTGACTTCCCTCTCTCTGTCTTTCTACATTAAATAACGTGTTAATTTCTAACGTGAGTTCTCATGGTGGTGAAATCTAAAATATACACGTCTTCTTTTTAAACAAACGTCCAATTAAGTGCTAGAGAACAATGCCTCCATTGACGTTTAAAAGCATTTGAGGAACTGTATCGCTGTAGAAATGTTGTTGTGCTCACACAGTAATCTGGATCTGTCTCCTGATTTAACTGTGACGCAGTAAAACACACAAACATGAGCTCACAAACACAGCCATTTTTTATGTAAAGCTGTGTATGTGTGAATTTGTTCCACCCTTCAGGAATTTGTTGCAGTGCGGGTCCAAGATCCTCGCATTCAGAATGAAGCTTCCTGGAATTCATACGTGGATTATAAGATATTCTTACATGTGAGTCCTGACATTTAAATTGGAAATATGTTCAGCCGCAACTTTAGCTTGAGCTGCATAATCGGCCACTAGTCTGCTTACCGCTTTAGTCATTTTCCAAGCAGAAATGTCCAACTGTGCTCTTCTTTCAGCTTCTCCAGTGTGAAGATTGGCTGCTTCCTTTATTTTATATTAGTGTCAATATAATACCTTTAAGTTTTGGCCTGTTGATCAGACAAAAGAAAGACATTTGCAGACGCCCCATGTTATTTATAGAGCGTGTTTCAAGATACCCAAACAGTCTTTAATAAAAACACACTAAAAGCAAACACATTAAATCATATCATGTAGCAGGAGACTTTAAATCAGAAATTCAGTTAGCCCTTATGAAAACTGCCACACACATAAACCTACAAATAAAACAATTTGATGATGCTAGGGTTTCTCTCAGATAATTACTAGAAGTTGTGTACCAGTGTAGTAGTTTTTGAGACTAATCTACAGGCTTACAGTTCTCTATTAAGTCTGTCTTTTACTACTAACAAGATAAAGAGATATAGGAGCAGAAGTTATCTGCAGCTTCAAGTGCCACTTCCTAAATAATCATTTTGTGACTTCTTTAGATTCAGCCAACTTAACCTGAGTCTTTGGAAACCACTGTTTGCAGCAGACAGATTGTTTACATTGTGTTTGGGCAAAGGTTTTTGGTGGTGTCGTGGTGCAGGCCATTCGGTTGTGCTGATGAATGCTGTGTCAGCAGAAATGTTCCGTGCCCAGGCAAGTGTCATGTGGCTACTGACTCATGACTTCTGGTTGAGAAAAGGTGACGTCTTGTGGTCTTATGTCAGTTTGTCTGTGGCCGATACGTTTTTGCTTCATATGTACAGTACAGTGTTTGAATTAGAAGTAAAAGTAGCTTTTCCAGAGCTTCACAGAAACGTCAGGAAACAGAAACCAATACTTCATGCTGCTTTTGTTATAAGTCACTGTACAGAAACTGAAGCTTAAATTTCATTGTTGATGGGTTTAAATATTTTCAAGGCAGTAACATTAGTTCTAAAATGTTTTTTTGTGTGTTTTCTTAAGCCTATCTGAAAAATCTCCAGTACTGTTGTTCCAGACCTTTGACCGCCAATTTAGTCATTTTTGAATTAATCCATTCATCTGTTTTGAGCTGCTTAATCAGGTCTTGCTTAAGTATTGAACTGAGTGAAGCCTGCACAAATTTCCAACCTAACATGAAACAGTGATGGATATTTGTCTAAAATATTTTAAAGTTCCTAAAATACATTTAGACTGTTCATACCAATACAACAAAAAGCAATCTATAGGGCTGCAAGTAACAGTTTTTTCATTATTGATTAATCTTCAGATTATTATTCATTTTGTCAATAAAACTTTAGAAGCCACTGACACCCTCACAAAACAGCTATTAGAATATCAAAATAGTTTCCAGTTTCTCTGCTGATCAATTAATCAAATAGCTAATTGTTGCTAAAGAGTATGGTGAGCACTTCTGCTTACTGTGGAAAAACATTTTCTCCACTGATGTAAACTGATCATCTGCTTTAATGTTTCTGAAATTTGATCAGCGCAGCTTATCATGCGATTAATTACCCCGTCAGACGGCAGCTTATTAATGTGAACATCAGTGGTCACATGTCACTGGAACTAGTCCGTGATGTCAAATCAAATCAAATTTTATTTGTATAGCGCCAAATCACAACAAAAGTCATCTCAGGACACTTTACAAAGTAAGGTCTAGACCTTACTGTTATCAATATTATTACATAGAGAAAACCAAACAAATCCCCCTTGAGCGAGCACTTGGCAACAGTGGGGAGGAAAAACTCCCTTTAACAGAAGAAACCTCCGACAGACCCCGGCTCTTGGTGGGTGGCCTTTTGCCTCGACCGGTTGGGGTGAGTGGATAGAGGAGAGACAAAAGAAGAAAAGCAACAAGACACAACAATCAAACACTGATCAGGTGTTATTATTTGTCACTTGTAAAGTAAGGAATGGTTCTTAATTCTTCAATAATTTAATGTACGGGAGAGAGGAGACACACAGTTACCGATGTGTAATGGTGGCATATAGAAGCATAGGGAGAGAGAGCAGAGCAGAGCAGAGCAGAGCAGAGCAGGAGGGGAGGGGAAAGAAACTCAGAGCATCATGGGGCCCCCCAGCAGCCTAGGCCTATAGCAGCATAACTAAGGGAAGGCTCAGGGTCACCTGATCCAGCCCTAACTATAAGCTTTATCAAAAAGGAACATCTTAAGTCCAATCTTAAAAGTAGAGAGGGTGTCTGGGCCGGATTATGGATTCTGTTGCTCCGCTGAGGAGGAAAAGAACTAGGAACCTCTCTGATCCTTGGCTGAATGACGTCACGCAGGCCTATCGGAGACTATGCAGGCAGGCAGAGCGGAAATGGCGGGAGGATGGGCCGCAAGGTTTCTTAGACATTC